TCCTAATCCCCAAAGGAAGATCCTGGCAGAATAAGGACCCCTCCAGTGTTGGTTTTTTTTGTTTTGTTTTTTTTTTTTTACAAAGGCACATCCTCGATAGGTAAAACTATCAAGGATGGAAAAACTATTTCTCCTTCCAAATGACGAATAATAGAGAAATGAGTGTGGAGGCCAAGGGGGCCAATTTAGCCAGTGTCTGCCCTGGCCAAGGGAGCAATGTTTACATAGAATGCGGAAAGGTAAAAGAATCGGTGCTGTGGCCTGTCTCAGCCACTTTTGCTGCAGTCTGATATCTCAGTGTGACAGGCCTATCAGATGAAAATAATAGTGCTGCACTCCAAAAATCTACAGAGGCTAACCACTTTTCCATTCCAGTTCAGAGGAAGAATGAGGAGCTCGATGTGATCCCCCAGGCGTTGAGGGCTCCCCTGGGTGCTGCCTGTTGGTCTTGGCCTGCTCAGCAGTCTTGCTCACAGCTTCAGTGAATGGATAGGAATGTGAGACCAGGGATGGTGCATGGAGAAGTAGCAAGAGCCTGCGACTGTGACCCATAGTTCTACCTTTTAATTCTGGTTCAACTTGGTGCCAACTCTGCGCTGAACACCAGCCCCATGCACAGCACTGCCTCACCAAGTCTTCATGAGCCCCCCAAATGCCATAGCACCCCTGCCCCTGTGCCTGCATCCCTCTCCTGCTCAGATGCTCCATCTCGCCTCTCAGCTTCTATGAGTTTTATCCAACCTTCTAGAGAGACCTTGAGTGGTGCCTCCCCACCCAGAACACCCACCTGCCATGATGGTCGAACTCTGCGAAACTCTCGAAGCTTGCTATGAATGTCAATCACCAGCTTCAAATTAATCATTCTCAGTGCCAACAACTAGCATTTCTAGAGTACCTTCTCTACTTCAGGCTCTGTGCTAGGTCCTAAAGACGTGAAGATGGCAAAGATGCCTCTCATTAGAGTACCAGTAACCTATATGGCCAGACGCCGGACTCACAAGTAGGTTAACGTACTGATGATGCTAAATTTGCGATTGGTGGTTCTCCATGCACAGTGTGCTATATAGTCAAGTAAACCCAGGATTTGGCCTGTCACTCAGAGGAGTCTGAACATCTTATAGGATAAAACTGATGCCCAAAGTTCATTCACTCTCAGCTTGGGGCCCTTAAAGTTTTGCAAGGAGTCAAGAAAATCGGCTTTCCCTGTGGGAGCCTGACAGTCATGAAACTGATGTGAAGGTTTTTCTGGGACAAAGTGGGTGGTGCCCAGGAAGGATGAACTTATCAAGTTGTTACTTAAAAAAAAAGGACAAAGAAATATAGTCTTTGCTTACTACTATACTTGAACCCTGTCATGGTTTGCCTATGAGATGTCACCCAAAAGTTCCTGTGTTGATTTAGAAATATTCAGAGGTAGAAGGATGAGACTATGAGAGCTGTGACCTGTTCAGTGTCCCCTTGTTTGAACAGACAGACTGGGTGATAACTGCAGGCAGGTGGGGCATGGTGAGAGGAGGCAGGTCACTGTGGCTGTGCCCTGGAAGGGTGCATCTTCCTCGAGGACCCCTTCCCCTTTCTCTGCTTCCCAGATGCCCTGTCCTGAGCAGTTTCTCTCTCTCATGCCCTTCTGCCATGAGGTGCCACCTGGCCTTAGGTCCAGAGCAATGCAGTCGGCCTACGATGGGCTAAATCTCTGAAACTGTGAGCCAAAATAAACTTTCCCTCCTCTAAATTGTTTTTGTCAGATTTTTTTTTGATCATAGCAACCCAAAGATGACTAACACAAACCCTGAAAATTATAGCACTGTGTACTACAATTGTAAGTGGAGGCGCCACTGTTGAAGTCATACCCAAGTCCAGGTGCCATCCCTCCACCTCAATGTCTTCTAAACCCCACGTGTGCACGTGCTCCTGAATGGCTATTTCTGACCACGGTGGCCCTCTTTCCACATTTCCGTGCCATGGCATGAATGGGAAGGTACCTGCTGCCACTCCATTTCCTGCCTGCTTCTTCACTGGCAGAAGTGTGATTTCACTCTGGAACTCTCCCTCCTCCACTCTCACTGCTTCACTTGCCAATCACGAGGATCCCATTTACTTTGCCAGTAACTGGTTTAGAAAAGGAACCAGTTAGTTCGCTCTGGCACTTGCTCTAGCTGCCTCGTGAGAACATAACAAGAAGGCAGTGGTCTGCAAGCCCAGGGGAAGGTGCTCACTAGGAACTAATCTGGCCAGTCCCTTGGACTTCCCAGTCCCCAGAATGGTGAGAAACGAATGTCTGTTGTTCAAACCACCACTTTATGGTATTTTGTTATAATAGCCTGAGGATGGAGACTTCATGACTTAGTTTTAAGTTGCCAATCCCAGTAATTCTAAGAAACATCAGTCAACATGCACCTCTAGTAGCTGTAATAAATCTTGCCCTCAAGGCCAAGAATTCAGGGAAATAATTGTGTGTGTGTGTGTGTGTGTGTGTGTGTGCACGCGTGCGCGCGCACGTACACATGTGTGTATCTCCCCAAGGTGAGTCTAGAGACATGGATGCTGACCTAAGTAGTGGTTCAAGGTTCAACCAGATACAAAGAAACAACCAGAAGGCCAGAAAAGGTGTTACCCCCACCCCCAGTTTCAGGGAAGATTTCTCTAGAGTATCAATATCAGCTTTGGTCCTTGGTGGGAAGGGGACCAACCTATCATCTATTTCCTTAAGTCATGTACAGGGAAGTTGGGAGAGGCAGGACCTCTGATCAGAATTTTAGTTGAAAAATTATGGAGCCAGGGTGAATATCACAGAATGTCCAAGTCTGCTTATTTAGAACCACCCTCCCTTCCAAAATGACATGCCAAACTGTGTGCACATGAGAACTGATTCGGAGTCAGGGTTCGTGACTTATCAGATTCTCAAGAAGGTCTGAATACAATAGTCACTAGTGTGGCAATATGTAAAAACATGGATGTGTAACTGATGTGATTCTGCAATCTGTATGCTGGGTAAAAATGGGTTCATAACCCACTTGAATCAAATGTATGAAATATGATATGTCAAGAGCTTTGTAATGTTTTGAACAACTAATAAAAAAAAAGGTCTGTAACCCACAAAAGGAAGAAATCCCTGCAGAAGACACCGGCATGCTTTGAAAGTGCTGTGAAAGGGTAATATCTTAATTTTAGAGCTCAAAGGAAGCTGCCTTCATCTATTTCCATAAATAGGAGCCCTAGAGGCCAAGGGTATCATAATAGATAAAATTCCCCTGCAATAATGGCAAGAATGTACAGGAGCCGTCACCTGAGTCCACAGTAAACTACAAAAGCTACCTAGTAGAATGCTGTTATAGAAAGACCATTTGCTTCCCAGATAATGAGACACGGCCAATGGGCAGGGGGATGTTCCTATCATTCCAGGAGGAGAATAGGACATTACATACTGTCAGAACCTTCTGCAGTTCCAATCTCCTACAGTCCTTTACTGTGTGTAAGGGGCTCTGTTTGTACCTTCCTTGGGGATGATGAGGAGGGGGATTAATTTCTATGTAATTTCAGAAACTAGTTGGCCTAAACCCACCCTAAAAGCATTTGAAAGTCACAAAATAATTATTTGAAAGTACAAATTGCAAAAAGAAATTGCAATTATAAAATAGCTTTATGGTAGACTTAAGCAAGACAAATATAATGGTAAGAAACAAATACCTAATCCTGAAATAATTGCAACAAGTCTATGATTTAGGACTCAGTTTCCTGGGAATGGAAATAAGGCATCTAAAAAGAATTGAGGAATCCAAAGGTAAAATTCTAAATTTTCATCATGATTTTTCCTCATTGCAATTTCTTTGGAATATGTCCTACTATCTTCCTAGTGATTGGTATTCTACCTGCCCCCTCCCCCCCCCAAAAAAAAAACTAAGAGGGCATATGAAAAGATTTTCAATGTTATTAATTACTGGGGAAATATAAATCAAAACCAAAATGAGATACTAGCTCCTACTCACCAGGATAGCTATAATAGAAAAACTGGAAAGTGTAAGCATTGGCATGGACCTGGAGAAATTGGAACCTTGTACACTGCTGGTGGGAAGGTAAGTGGATGTTATTGGTATAGAAACTACTAGTGGTTTCCTTGAGAGCTAGACATAGAATTATCATATAATTATATTATCATATAATTCTATGACCCAGCAATTCCATTTCTAGATTTATATGCCCCAAAGAATTGAAAGCAGGGAATTGAACAGATATTTGTATAGCCATAATCACAACATAATTCCCAAGGGTCAAAAGACAGAAGCACAAATAAAAATTTAAAAAAAAAAAAATAGAAGAAACTCAAATGTCCATTGATGGATAAATGGATAAGCCAAGGGCAGTAGATAGATATAGTCAAATATTAGCCTCAAAAAGGAAGGAAATTCTAAAATGCTACAACATGGATGAACCTCAAGAACTTTAGGATAAGTGAAATAAGCCAGCCACAGAAGGACAAATACTGAATGATCCCACTTATACGAGGTCCACAGAATAGTCCAATTCATAGAGACAGAAGGTAGAGGGCAGTGGCCTGGTGCTGATGGGAAACAGAATATGGAATTACTTTTTTTTTTTTTTAAGACAGAGAGGAGAGAGAGAGGGAGAGAGGGGGGGGAGAGAGAGAGAGAGAGAGAGAATATTTTTTAATATTTATTTTTCAGTTTTTGGTGGACACAACATCTTTATTTTATTTTATGTGGTGCTGAGGATCGAACCCAGAGCCCCACGCATGTCAGGAGAGCGCGTTACTGCTTGAGCCGCATCCCCAGCCCTGGAATTACTTTTTAATAGAAACGATTTTAAGTGTGGGATGACAAAAAGGTTTTGAAAATGAATAGTGGCATAGAGAATCCATCTGCTGCCAGTGCACTGTACCCTTCCATGTGGCCACAATGGTAAATCTGTGATATGTATATTTTACAATAATAATAATAATAATAAAGCTGAGGAGAGAAGCCCGGGTAGCAATCAATACTTACAAGATGTAGGCGATGACTCCGATGGACCAGCAGTCAACGGCTTTGCTGTAAGGTTTCTGGGCCAGAACTTCAGGAGCTGTGGGATGATAAAGAACAGACACAGGCCTGATCATTTAAATGTTTGGGACTGGAGATGCTTATTAGGACTCTTTCCCCCCTGTATGTTATTCACACTGAACTCTCCATGAGTTTGAAAACTGCCTTGAGGGCTGAGGTGTAGCTCAGAGGCAGAGTATATAGGGCCTTAGCGTAAACAAGGCCCTGACTTTGACCCCCAGGATCAAAAAAAAAAAAAAGATACTAAATATAAAAATTGAGAGTTAGGACCCATTTTATTTGTTGACTTTTCTAACTAGAAAAACAATTGAAGATGTGTGTGTGTGTGTGTGTGTGTGTGTGTGTGTGTTTGACTAGAGATGACCAATCCATCAGCAAATCCTTCCTAGATGGCTATTTCATGACGGTGCCCGGCTCAGCACTAAAGCTCAGCCCAGCCTGCCGTGAGAAGTCACCCTCAGTGTGGGGTCTGGACGATGTGACTGCACCTCAAATTGACTCAAGGCAAATTTCTGGCCCTGTGTAAGTGCCCCTGGGACACAAAGGTAAAGGGTCCTGCCTCTGCCTTCGTGGACTCTCAATGAGGTTTGGAGTTTGGGGTGAGCTACTCATCAGTACTCTCATTTCATTGCTCACTTTTGAAGCAGGAAAAATGCGATTGAATCTCAATTTTCTTGAACCTAAACCACCATCCCAGTAAGAGCCACCCCTCCTCAGGGCTTGGGCTCACTTGTACCATTCCTGCCCTCCCTGTTTCAGGCCGTGGGCTCCAGCCCAGAGTCAGAAACCACCCAGTGTTTAGTGACCAGCGGCATCTGGTGTGGTTGGCGCTCCGTGCATGCTTGTGCTGAGTAAATACATAGGAGACAGTGAGTCTTACAGGCAAATCAAAATCTCCTCTCCCCGCAAAGGTGTCTTTAGGACACACCTTCCCAGAACAATTAAAAGGATAAAGAAAACAAAAACAGTGTTGCCCTTGTTTGGAATTGTGTGTTCTCTGAGCTTTGGCTGCATGAACCCACTAACATCCTGACCATCATTATTCCCAAATTATAGGTGATGACACAGAGACACTGAGAAGTCAAGTAACCTGGAATACGGCTGGAAAGTGGCCTCTACATCCATTTCCTCGGAAGGTACCTAACCCCTATTAAGTACCTACCATCAGCTGGGGCCTGTGTTAATCATTCATAAATATTTTCTACTTGAATTCTTTCAAGAACTCTGAGGATCACCATGATCTGCACTTCAGAGATAAGGAAACTGAGCCACAGAGAAGCTAAGTAATTTGTCCCATGTCACATAGCTAGTTACAAAAGAGTTAGAATTTGAAACCAGGTCAATCTGACCCTAGACCTGGCTCTTTTACTAGAACATACAGTTTGAGAAGAAAAGAGCTGCTTCAGTCTCTAAGAAAAGTCCTTTTGTAGAAAAAAACAACAGGGAAATCCTCTCTTTCATTCTGTTGAAGATAAAAACCTTCCTAAGCAAGAATAGGAAAGTATATAAACTATTGTTTAGTGTCTCTGTTCATGAGAGACAAATAACATCCACAGATCATCCCCAAATCTAATTTTAGGTTTAAGTCCTAAATTCCTCCAAACCTCTTATCTGATTTTTTTTAAATGAGAGCATAAGAAATATAGTTGCATACCCTTTCTTGGCTATGCTCACCCTCAGTGCACTAGCAAAAGGAGGGACAGAACCATATAGTCACCAAGTGGAGAAGCAGTCCCTGGACAATTGGCCAAATTGAGGCTCCCTTGCCCTCTAACTGTTAAGAGCATATTTCTCAGACTCTTCAATTATGGAAATTGACAAAGGGAAGCCATTTACCACAATAAATGGCTTTCTGATTTAGAAGGTACGCTCTCTTCCTGGGCTGGCGCTTTGGTCTGAATGGCTACACTGGCACCGATGGTGCAAGAAATGACTGAACTCTCAAGGACCTTCCAGGGCCATCCTGTGGGACAATGGAAAGCTCAGGAGAGACACAGGATACCACAAAGCACCCACTGGCCACTTTCCCCTCCCACAGAACTGCTGCAGGTCTCAGGAGAACCCTGAGCCCATCACAGGAATCCACAGGGCTGTTAACGAGATGGCCAGCCAGCCTGCTCTAGCTACTGACCCAGGTGTCAAATGGCACAGAGTCACAGGGAGTCAGCCCAAGGTGCAAAGCACAAAAATGTCACATACCAGGTACCCAATGGTGACAGACACACAGGAGAGCAGTGCAGAAAGGTAAGCCATGGACACTTCTGACAGCTGCTACCAGAGTATGAGCAGGGATTGGGCCCATGTCCTGAGCCTCCATGTACTGAGAGTGGACAAAAAACCATAGTCCCTGAAAAACAGGCATCTCTCCTAGGAACAGTCCATACCGGCTTCCCTATCTCCACCCTCATGCATGGGGGGAGGGAGAAGTCTTTAAAGGAACATCCTCCTCCCGCTTGTCTATTAGAAAAAAGGACTATACTGGCCACCATCCACACACTGGGGAAAATCAGACATCAGACATTTCACCTGGGGTTGGAGCTCAGTGGCAGAGCACTTGCCTAGCGTGTGTGAGGCACTGGGTTTGATTCTTAGCACTGCATATAAATAAATAAAATAAACGTCAATTCATATAAATCATTTCACCTTCAGTCTCGCAAATTCACCAACCAACATACTGCACAGTTGTGCAAGACACAGCAAAGACTTGAAAAGCAAGTGGCTGGCTTTTATGTAGCTTGGAGCTTGGATGTTACATGAGATGTTAAATAGATCCTCGCAGCCACAGACTATACTTAAGTCCTAAACTGTGAGATTCTGCTTAAATGATAAAGTTTATAACATCAAATATATGGTTAAAAACAATTTCTGGTTTGGATCAGTAACATGGATGGATGTTAGGGGGAAAGTTCTAAGTTATGAAATATTAGGATAATAATATTGTGTGCAGAAGCCCATGTATTTGTGCCAAACTTTTCTTGTTCTCTTTGTCGTGTTGTATCTGGGTTATGTCTACAACACAATTAAAAAAATATATATTGTTTTGATTTTTTGTTTGGGTTTTTAATTTTTTTATTTTGAGACATGACCTTGCTAAATTTCGGAGGCTGGCCTTAAACTTTGGATTCTCCTGCGTTAGTCTTTCAAGCTGCTGGTATTACAAGCGTGTGCCACGTGGCCTGGCTAACATACAATTACTTTTAAACCAACTGGCTGTGAGCAAAGTGTCTGCATTCTGGTGAGGATCTTAATTGTACTTGGAAACAAACACAGGGGTGAAGATACAAGTGTAATGTCATGATAAAAGATAAAGCAAATAGCTTCAGAAGTAACATTCCCATCACCTTCAAATACTCTGAAAATTGAATAATGACCTATACACCAATGGCCTGAATTTGACTTGTAATGTGATTGCAGGAACCAAGTATCCTTTGGAACCCTGTTTGAGAAAGCCTACCTAGATCACTTCCAAGAGCTTCTTTTCATCTCATAAGAATTCTTCAAAAAAGATAAATTCTCAGACAATCTTCAAAACCCTGGTGATGTAATGTGCCGACCAAATCAGGGTGAACTCCCAGACCTGGAGGATAGTTTTTCTTGCTCTCCTCCTGTGTTCTGGAATTGGCTCTGCTGTTTCATCCATCTGCTGAATTGGAGGGGCTGTTTTGGGCGGACTGACTCCCATTTTCCTGGTTCCTTTCAGCTGCAGTGTAGCAGGCAGCACTGGGAGTTCACGTCTCCCTCTGATCTTTTCAGAGGTCCGTTTTCATGGTGAGAACCAGTTAAACTCCTTGGCATTGTGTTATCGGTCTCACGCTGCTTGGCAAGAATTCCTCAGAAATTCTAAAATATGGCAAGCATCCACTTGACAAACTTTGGGAAGACAAATGAATTTCTGGGCCCACGAGGGGCAGAACACAGTCTATGCAGGGCCTTGGAAAATGACAGGGCTCTCTGGGCCACACTCTCACAAGGCTGCCTGGAGATGCTGACCAACTGCTTCATAAAGGAGAAATAATGTTTTCCTTTAAGAATCCTGATGTGGCAGGAGGCCCTGCCAAGGACTCCCCACCCAAAGAGGGAGACTTTCAATTGGAATAACTTCACTGGAGCTCTTGACAAAGACAGTAGCTATTAAAAGGCTCTTGGTTAGTGGAGAGGCCATCAGCCACCAGGGAAAGCAGGAAAGGGCTTATTTTCCTGGCACATCTACAGTTGAAGGGACAGCCACACCAGTGGAGAGGGGCACATGCATCCCTCCTTATGTGGATGATGTAACCAAGTCCCTAGGGGCTGTTGGGCCCCATAAAGAGAATCACCTACTTGGAGTTGTTGAAACGGTCATATGCAAAGTAAATGGCAGGTCTAACCTAAGCATCTCTTAGGCTTGGCCAAAGCCAGCCCTTTAGACTTAGAGAGAGTGAGGCTGGGGTCTGGGAAGCTCTAAGTGACATACAAGGCATGATGGTCGGCTTCCCAAGTCTATTGGCTCAAATCCTACAACACACTAGCCACCCGTGATTCCCAATGTGTCTTAAACACCCTTTACTGCTGTGTGTGACTCACACTGTCAAACACCAGACTTGAAGGCACTGGAGAACAGGGCCATGCTCTAATCACTGATGTTGAGGGCTAAGCACATTCTAGTGGTTAACATGTGGTTAGCCACTGAACCCAATCCAGTCACCACACATGCCATTATTTCTACGGGAAGATGTTTTCCAAATTCCATACATCAGAGCTACCAATAAATTTCACTGCACCAAATATTTTTGGCGAGTAGGTACAGGAAAAACAAAATAGAGAAAAAGAGACAAATTGATTTTTGGAAAGCCAGCCATGACCCATTGGGATATCCCTATATTAAGTAAAGGCAAAATTGACCTCTAAATATATTTGCATGACTGATGAGTTCTGACAAGAATTTGGGGCCTTAAAAGAAACAGAACTTTCCTAATTCTCTAAAAATGGATATGTTTGTCACTCTTCTTTTAAAACTCTTAAAGGGATTTCAGAATTATT